CCAAAGGAGGAGTCGAATACTAGTTTATGCAGAGCTGTTATCCAATCATAGCCGTAGGCGTTTACTTCCAAGTCATCAGAAAGAACCACCCAGAAAATCCAACCCAGGCTCATTCTTAAAACTTACCTCGAAATACATTTCTGGACTGTGCCAAATACGTCCAAGAAGGTACTTTTTTTTTTTTTTTGCTGTTTTTTTTTTGTGAATCCACCACCTCAAATTTCTCTCACGAGTGCCATTCCCACCTGCGGTTCTCGCGTAAATCCACAAGAGGCCGCTGTCAACTGACTGATCACCTGACCCACCCTCCTCCTTCCCAAACTCCAACCAATAGTGTCCAACCAATAGCACAGATTGACACACCGACCCACTTTCCTAAACCCAATCGACATTTTTAAAAAGCATTCCAGAAAAAGAAAAGCCCTCACCTGATTTTTACCATGTTCTCAGATTTTACCACATTCTTACCCTGTCATTTACATGTTTATTACATTTTTTGGCTTCTGTTTTTGTCTTACACGCTTTCTAGAACCGTTCTTTGCTGGACTTGAACCCCATGGTCAACTCCTCTATGCGTCACAAGTCCACTGACGTACATGGCAAGCCACAGGACAAACTTGTAACAGTGGGAAAGCTGTCCACACAGAGGCAAATGGTCAGCTGATAAGGGCGAAAAGGAACGGTGTCATTCAGTACCATTCTGTAGCATTCGTTTTAAAGATAAAATGCACACACACGTACTTCTGGCAACATAATTTGCGATCTCAGGAAAAGTATAAAGGGCTACATTTTCAGAATGAGCCTATGATGAAAAAACCTGTGCATTCTCTGCGACAGCCTCAAAATCAGGGTACAAAAAAGCGTATTATATATTGATTTTGATGTTTTTGACAATAAAATCCGTGTAAACACCATTGGTGGACTTCGAATGACAATAAAACGATAAAAATGCATTCATTCATTCTCGTTCGGCTTATGACCCATTTTAAGGTTTAATGTTTGTTTTAAAGGTACTTTAGTGGGTTTACATCTATGGTAAAACCTTAAATTGTGCATGAAATCAGTTTACAATGTTTTTTTTTTTTTTTTTTTTTTTTTTGCTAGCACACATCGTTAGTCTTAGAGTGAGCAATGAATCCACAAATTAATCCAACAGTTTTGGCAATTTTATTGAAAATCTAACGGCTTGTTTCAACTCTTGAATGTCGGTCATTCTCTAGGGATGTCAGTTTGATGGATTGGACGGAAACATGTTTTACCATGCCCCTCTAACAATTAATTTTTCTGTGAGTTAAAGATGAGAGGAGGAGAGCATAAATAAAACCCCACCTCTTCTCAATATTCACTTTCGGTTAGAAGTCATCAAACTGAGATAAAAGTCTGCAGCAACTTCTAGTTCATTCATTAATTCATTCATTTTCCTTCAGCTAAGTCTCTTATTTATCAGGATTAACCACAGCAGAATGAACCACCAACTATTCCAGCATATGTTTTACACAGTGGATACTCTTCCAGCTGCAACCCAGTACTGAGAAACACCAATACATTCTCGTATTCACACACTTCGTCCAATTTAGCTTCTTCACTTCACCTGTATCTTTGTCTTTGGACTGTGAGGGAGACCAGATCCCCCGGAGAAAACCCACATAAACACAGGGAGAACATGCAAACTCCACACAGATATGCCAACTGGCCCAGCTGTGGACCTTCTTGCTGTGAGGTGTCAGTGCTGACCACAGGGCCACCTTGCCGCTCCACTTCCAGTTCACACAGACATTATTTTTCCCATTAAATGTAATGGAGCATCATTTCTAGTGTGTGAAATGGCTCATTTAATGACGTTATGAATTGAGAAATTAAAACCCCCTTGATATTTTTTTATAAAGATCACTGTAAACAACCCAACTTAAAAACTTATCATTTATATAAACAACCTGTAAAGGTTTTATGCCATTCAGAATCAATTCTTTCTAGTAGAAGTCAACAAAACCACTTATCATGCATGTTTGAAACCTTTTACAATCACAAACAGCTATATTAGACTCTACATGAACGATAACATCTGGAGACAAAATGGGGCACTTTAAACATAAGTAAAAACGACAGTATAAAGTTAATTCAACGATGCAAAATAATAAAGCACAGTGTTTTGAAGCTGCTCGGCGTGTTTGGATGAGGATCACTAAATATGACCACTGCTCAAAGTGAATATAATATGCTGTAATAGTTTCCCCCAACGTGGCAAGCATTGGTATTTGGAAATGCAGATGAAACATTTGTCTCCACAACACTTTGTAATGCCTGCCCAGTGTTCATGTGGTCCAGTTGTTGAAGCATCCCATTAAAATTCCATGAGTGCAGAACGCAATATTAATGACTGCTGCAGCAAACCGCACAAACTACCACTGCAGCATCGTTTAAGCATTGGAAGAGTGGTCAAAAAAATTGCATAGAATGAGAATTCACAGCTGTGGGGAATAAAAATCTGCCTAAATGCTTGCTGGATTTAAGACAAAGCAGAACTAATATTCAAGAGCCTACGGGATAGAAAAAAAAGCTAGAGGCCGGCAACATGATTAGTTGGTTTCTCTAATCCTTCTTGTCAATTAACGCCAGGTCCTGGCCTGTAGACATCGAGATCTTGTCAAGCGTCCATTTCATGGCAAATTGATTGGTGTGGTGGGACAGAAACAAAGGAAAGGATGTACAAAGGAATAAACGCTGTAGGGTCAATGGGAAAGTCTGGCATTGAGATTTGCAAACATACACTGTAAAAATGATCCATAAATTAACAATTTTCCGTATTTTGTTCAACATGTTTTTTATTATTATTGTTACTTAGTTTTTTATTTATGCTTTTTAATTGAATTGTGGGACCTTGATCTTTTCTTTTTCGGTTATTTTACAGACTTTATTCTCAGTGTTGTTTATTATACAATTATTATTATTCATTTTTATCAATTATTATTTATATTGTTTCAAGCTACTAAAGTTTTAGGAATAGTCACTTTGATAAAATGCATTGAACTTTCGTCATCAAAAGTCGACAGAGCAGAGATTAACATCCCATAATTCAATTAATAGCATGATTAATTGTTCTGATAAACAATCAGAAACCATCTGAGGATCACATCTGTTAATCACAGTTTTACTTTATTCTATTTCTCAGATCAGAATTGGAATTTTCAAAACTACATGTTCAATCTTCACATCATTGTGTCATTCCTTTGAACAAGTTGCAAATGCTTGCGTTCATCCACGCAATTGATTATGCGCAATTCTCTGATATTTCCAACATTATCACATATGCTTATGTCATGTTGATCGAAATGTATTATTTTGGTCTCTGTTGAATAGTCTCACCCTTTGTTCATGGATTTTTTTTTCTTTACATACAAAATGGCTCAACAAGTTGTCATAAATATTTGGTCATTATGCAGTTTACTTATTTCTCGCAGGTGAATCTTGGTTTTATCTAATGAAGGTGCATCTGAAAGGAGATTGTGTCCTATTACTTTTGTTTTGTTTTTTCTTTGTGTTATACAGTGCTGTTGTTACCTTTTTGTATCACAATGACAAGATCTGGCAACAAATTACAGTAAATGATCAAAAATAAATACAGCAAAACAGCAAAAATAAATAAATTAGCCACAGTTTACATCAGAACAGCCCTCCAGAGTCCACTGTTAAATTAACAACATGACTAAGTCATTTGACTGTCTTATCTGTACACAATGACAGCACGACTTGTCATTCTGACGCCACTGACCATTTCAAACACGCCATTCATTTACAAAGAAATTTAGTTTTGAAAGATGAAAGAGGATTTTGAGAAGGAGACTGGCTTTGGTAGGTAATCCATGCTGTTTTGCTATTTGTACGCGCTGTTTTGAGAAATGCACTTACTGTCTTGCAAATTCCAATTCTGATCTGAGAAATGTACCAAAGAAAAACTGTAATAAAGGAATATTGTTTACAGTGTAGTCCTAAACTAGCTCTAGAAGTATCACTAAAATCAAAAGGGAATTGATAGGTGTCGTAAATGTTGACATTGTTGCATATGTGAGTAGCCGTTCAGTTCCAGAGTGTATTTGGATGTTATTGGGTTTGATGTATTGTGTATCAAATTATTTATTCCTAGCAACTTATATTTATAAATTTTAAAGTTTCTATCAGTTTTATGGAGAGAAAAATGACAGAAACTTAAAACCAAATACAGAGCCAGAGATAGATAGATAGATAGATAGATAGATAGATAGATAGATAGATAGATAGATAGATAGATAGATAGATAGATAGATAGATAGATAGATAGATAGATAGATAGATAGATAGATATATAGATGGATGGATGGATGGATGGATGGATGGATGGATGGATGATTGGATGGATGGATGGTTGGAGAGATGGATGAATGGATGGACAGATGATAGATAGATAGATAGATAGATAGATAGATAGATAGATAGATAGATAGATAGATAGATAGATAGATAGATGGATGGATGGATGGATGGATGGATGGATGGATGGATGGATGGATGGATGGATGAATGACTGGATAGATGGATGGATGATTGGATGGATGGATGGTTGGAGAGATGGATGAATGGATGGACAGACGATAGATAGATAGATAGATAGATAGATAGATAGATAGATAGATAGATAGATAGATAGATAGATAGATAGATAGATAGATAGATAGATAGATAGATAGATAGATAGATAGATAGATGGATGGATGGATGGATGGATGGATGGATGGATGGATGGATGGATGGATGGATGGATGGATGGATGGATGGATGGACAGACAGACAGACGAGTGAATGGATGGATGGATGGAAGGTCAGACAAATGGATAGATAGATAGATAGATAGATAGATAGATAGATAGATAGATAGATAGATAGATAGATAGATAGATAGATAGATAGATAGATAGATAGATAGATAGATAGATAGATAGATAGATAGATAGATAGATTTTTCTCACCTCGAACAGTCGCAGGACATTGGCCACCATGATTGACACGGAGCTCCCCGACGCCCCAATCACGCCCACCACACGCTCAGGCTTGCGTATGATTGGCTGTTCCCCGTTGGAGCAGCGGATGTCAGATGTGTCTTTCTGAATGAGAGCCTGGACAAACGTCAGAGACTGTTCGAGAGCGTAAGTGTCCCTGGAACACGTATCAAGAATTCGGGCCCCAAGTGTGATGTTGGGCAGCAGCTCTGGGTCGCTATTGATCTGGTCCAGTGCGTACAGCATGGCCTCCAGCCGGTGGATTCCTTTCTCCTTTTTTATTTCTCCACACGGGACTCCTGCGGGACCCCTGGAGTGGACCGGGAAAAGCCCCCCCAAAGTGATGTCCCCTGGGATTTTGATGGAATGTGGGTGCGAGTGCTGGTGAACTGAGGAACACGGGCTAAGCCAAACCCACAGAATCCACAGGAGGCGTGGCCATGTAGATGCGTGACAGGTGGTACAGCTTAAAACTCGAAACATCCTGACCTGATGGTCCAATGAGAATGGAAGAGGATGTGATGTCATAATCACCAAGAATCAGACATATAAAGTGTTCATCCACTATCTGAGGAACCTGTTTAAGATAAACAAAAATGTATAGTTAGGAACAAGTGTGCTACAATTGTTAGTGATGCATTTGTCTTCAAAATCTTTAATAGGGATACAAAATTTGAGGTAGAAGGTGACTGGTTTGAGTCCTGGTTGGGTCAGTTGGCATTTCTTGGTGGAGTTTGCATATTCTTCCCATGTTGGCGTGAGTGTTCTCCGGGTGTTCCGGTTTCCCCCACAGTCCAAAGGCATGCTCTATAATAGGTATATTGAATAAACTAAATTGGCTGTAGTGTATGTGTGTGAATGAGTGTTTATGGGTGTTTCCCAGTGCTGGGGTTGCAGCTGGACAGGCATTTGCTGATGAATAAAGGGACTAAGCCGAAGAAAAATTAGTGATTGAATTAATTTGAGGTAAATATATATAGAAATTACATAAAACTGCAAGTGTGTGTGTGTGTTAATTTTTCAATATAAAGTATTTAAAGAGCCCATATTATGGGTTTTTGAAAATTCCCCTCCATGTAGTGTGTAACACAGCTCTAAGTGAAGTGAAGTATCCAGCTAAGGCTTAAATCTGTAAGAATACAGTGTTTAAAACGGTTGATTCATCTATAAAAGAGTCGACTCATAGTGCTTCAAACGAGTCGCCTTGATACCGACTCATTAGGTGTTTCGCCATGACGTACGAACGAAACCAAGTTATTCACGTGCACGCGCAAACCCGGGAGATTTCAAACCTGAGGCCCCGCCCTCTGACGCAGAAACCCAGACACACACGCACACCCACAAACACACGCACACCCACAAACACACGCACACAAACATGCCGGTCGATTGAAGTAACACTGCAGATGGACATTATATTGAGTCTCTACCCAAAGATGAAACATCAGCATTATAACCAAGCAGTTGGAAACTTCTGGAAGCTACATGCTACAAAGAATACTTCATCTGAGTTTGTTAAAGGAAGGATCAGTAAAGAGTAACTGATGGACGTCAGGATGGGTTTCTTCCATTTCTCAAGTGTAAGTACGTGCGGTTAAAGTTGTTGCCTCGTTTACTCTAGCTTGCAAATGTATTTAGTTGTGATTTGTTACTTGTAACCGCGTGTACTGTATCAGGTTAACTGGATATTTTATCTTATCGCGTGCAAAGTCACGTTAAAAACGCGACGCGTGCTGTTTGTTTATGGAGCTCCGTGCTAGAGTTCTGCTCCCGCGATTTATTCGGAAATTTATTCCCGCGCCGCAGAAATCTGGCGCGGGGACAGCCGCGGGAATAAATTTCCGAATAAATCGCGGGAGTGGTCGGTAACGGGTTTAATTTGGGACGGGAGCGGGCTGTCTAGCAATATCACGGATATTGCTATGCGAATTAGAAAGAGAGAGTCTGCGTGGTGCTTGTGTGTGTGTGTTAGTGCGCACGCGCGCGTATGAGAGAGAGCGAGAGAGCGAACGAACGAACGAACGAGCTTTGTGCTGTGTGTATACAGACAGCTTGGCTGTCTGGACTGTATACTGGGTGATTTTTGGTTGTGTTCTTTGCTCTAGCGGGACCGGGCGCGGCGGGCAGAAAACGGAGCGGGTTCTCAGGCTAAAACCTGGCGGGTGCGGGCGGAAGCGGGAGCGTTGTCATCCGGAGGTGTGTGTGTGTTTTTGTGTGTGTGTGGTATGGCGAGTACACGACTGTCTCCTTCGTTCGGTTATCCGTGGCACTATCCACTCGCCATAGTGTGGCAGCTAAAATCCACGTCTACAATATCGAGCGTGTATGAACTGTGATTACTTTTTAAATTGCTGATTAGCTATTGGCCATTTCCCTCTCTGACTGAAGGCAGTCGACCAATCGCGACAGACTGTCATCGGTCCAATCAGCGCAGATTAGCTCCGCGCTAAGGAGGGGTTTGGGAACAAATGAATCACTGGACGATTCATACAGGAGTCGCTGGGATAATTAGCTAAAAATAAATGCAGATTATAAGACCATGAAAGTGTTTTTTGACCTTGCATGCATATTAGACTGTTGTTGGAGACCCTTACAACCAGGATATGACCCTATTTCATGTATAATATGGGCTCTTTAATATAAATTAATACATTTAAAAAATATTTCAATAAAAAGAATTTAAAAGAATAAAAAATATGTATATATATATATATATATATATATATATATATATATATATATATTTATATATATATATATATATATATATATTAGCATAAATAATACATGCTTAAATCCAAATGAACATGCAAATGAGAGAAAGTAATCAAGATTAACAAAAGAGTCAAATAAATGTAAATAAGATGAGGATTTCTAGTTTGTTTAAAGGTTTAACTAGGCTAATTAAGTTAATTAGGCACAATATAATAACTGAGAAAGTCATTTGACAACAGTGGTATGTTCTGTAGCCGATAGACTGATTTCACGCGGCCGAAATTTTTAAAAGTGTAATCGAGGCTGCGGTGGGAAGAAACCCGGAAGTAGTTGGTGCCGGTGGTGTAGTGGTTCGTGCGTTGACACATGCACTCCGGTGCTCGCGGCGACCCGGGTTCGATTCTGCCTTGTGGTCCTATGCTGATCCTTCCCCTCTCTCCCCATGCTTTCCTGTCTATTCTCTCTACTGTCCTATCAAAAATAAAGGTGAAAAACCCCTAAAAAATAATTATAAAAAAAAAGAAACCCGGAAGTATCGTTGAGAGTTACATAGGAACGTTGTATACCTAGCTGTATGTCTTATCAGCGAAGTGAAAATGACATGACCCGAAGGTCCGTTCTAAATGAATGGTGAAAATAAAAAGGGATTTCAGAGCTCATTTTCAGCTAAGTTAATGAAAATGGCACTAGTTAGCTAACGTTTTCTTTCCCAAACACACGTTTTAGATGCCATTTATCAAACTCGAGTTAATGAACTGATTCTTTCATTATATTAGATTTGTCACAATACTGAATTAAAACAAAAACCGTCAATTTCCCGCTAACATTTAAGGCACTGTTGATGGCTTTCTTAAAACAGCGCTGATTCACCATTGTGTTCACGTGCTCTACATAAATGCTTGTGATTGGCCGAGAAGGTCATCAGTTCACTCACCGCTGTTTATTGAGCACAAACACAGACGAGTGATCATCATCTGCTTGATGACTCGACTGATCTTCACAGCTGTTTCGTGCTCCAGTCTGCGTGTATCTGTGTTTGCACTGGGTGAAGAACAGTAAACTGAGGGCAAACACAGATACACTGAGACTGGAGCGTGAAGCAGCCGTGAAGATCAGTCGAGTCATCCGCGCTCAGCAACACCTCAATGTTAGCGGGAAAAGGACGGTTTTAAAATTTTAGTCCCGGGACAACACTATTACAAAGAACCAAGGGTGTGCTACAGAGGACAGTTTAATCGCTCACCGGGTTAACTTACATAGGCTGAAGCAGGAAAGCGTTCCCACAGTGTTAAACTGGTGCTATGAACTGAAGCCTATGTGGACACTAGAGCATATTACTCTTAAAGATGTTGTTTGATGCTGAATTGCTTTTAATAGTTTAAATTAAACTGAACTGAATGATATTAAAGTGATATTTACACCATTTCTGCATTTTGAAATCTCTGCAACAGCTCGAGGTTTGTAGTACACAGCATGTACTGCAATGTTTACAGTGCTGGTCCTATACTTCTGTGTTTCTTCCCACCGCAGCCTCGCTTTGGTTCTTTAAAATGGCGACAGCGTGAAATAAGCGTATAAAAATATATGATTTCCTAAGGGGGCAAAAAATATTGACCTTAGCAGTAAAATAATAATAATAATAATAATAATAATAATAATAATAATAATAATAATAATAATAATAATAATAAAAATAATAACAATAACAATATTAATAATAATAATAATAATAATAATAATAACAATAATAATAATAATAATAATAATAATAATAAATTCACAACCAAACAAAGAAACAACACTTTCTCCAGAAAAAATTATAATAGGAAATACTATATATAAAATTTTTGTTTGTAATGTAAACATAACAAACATCAATTGGGAAATATTTGCAAAATAATACAAATTTCACAGGAGGACTAATATTTTTTTCTTCAACTGTGTAAAGATTCATAAGAGATTAAATCATGACAACCCAGACTCATTCTGAAAACGTACCGCTTTATAGATTTCTGGAGAGCACCAAATATGTCCCAGGAGCTACATTTTTTTGCCGTTTTTTCCACCAGAGGTAGCTGTGTACGCTTTTTCAGATCACAAAAGATCTCATGTCTCGTGAGGGCTATTCGCCCCTGCTCAGAGGTCGGTGTCGACTGACTGACTGACTGACTGACTACTGACTGACAAACAGACCTACTGACCCGCCCTCCTCTTTCCCTAAACCCAATCAACAGTGTTTTCAAAAGCACCAATTAATCCGCCCGTCCGCTTCCCCAAAACCCAACCCATAATGTTTACAAAAGCACAGATGGTCAACCCTCTGTCATATTCATCCCACTCTTTTGCATAAGCAAAACTTTCTCTGAGTGTCACTTATGCAAACCTTTGCTTTTTACTTTCCTCCAATGTTCCAACTGAAATGAAGAGATTTACAACATTCTCCTTTGACAATGATCCTACAATTAAGTTTTATGGAAGGGAAAATGGAGTGATTTGAATTTCTAGCACTCTCAAACTATCACGCACAATAGATAACACATCATAAACAACAGCAGACACAATGCGCTTTGAAAGAAAGAAGGTCTCATTCTTCAAGCGTCCGCTGGGAACTGAGCCGCATTGAAAACGCTGTGAAATGAATGGAGAGTGATATAGACTGGCGTGTGGTGAAGCTCCAGGGAAAGAAGCCCAACCGCTCTGATGTGTAGTGATTGTGAGACCAGCTAGTGCCTCTCCAAAAGGGTTCAAGGGTCAATGAAAGAATGAATTTGTTCAGAAAAGCTGCGAGAGAAAAAGACTTGAGATTTGAGCTGAGCTGTAGCCGGTAGCTGAAACTTCAAACTTCAATAAAAGAAAAGTTAA